AACAATGTAAAACTTCAGAGCCTACAAGTCCACTCAGACCTGCTTCTTGTTCAGCCAATCACTAAGACAAACAGGTTTGTTTACATTTACAGGAGATAATGCTGCCCTCTTCTTATTTACAGTATCACCAGAAAGTTAGAACAGGCGTTTAAATGGCATTTTTGTAGCTAGCATTGCAAGTGCCAGATATGCTAAACATTTGCATGCCCCTTCATGCTTCGGCCACTATTCCAGAAGACATGCTTCCATGCTGATGACACTCATTAAAAAAAGAATGCATTAATTAAATTTGTGACTGAACTCCTTGGGGGAGAATTGTACAGCCCCTGCTCTGTTTTACCCACATTCTGCCATATATTTCATGTTATACCAGTCTCGCATGATGACTCAGCACGTTATTCATTTTAAGAACACTTTCACTGCAGATTTCATAAAATGCAAAGAAGGTACCAATGTGAGATTTCTAAAGACAGCTACAGCACTTGACTCAATGTTTAAGAATCTGAAGTGCCTTCCAAAATCTGAGAGGGACTTTTAGAAGTCTTAAAAGAGGAACACTCTGATGCGGAAACTACAGAACCCAAATCACCAAAAAATTAAAATCAACCTTCTGCTGGTAGCATCTGACTCAGATAATGAAAATGAACATGCGTCGGTCCGCTCTGCTTTGGATTGTTATCGAGCAGAACCCGTCATCAGCATGGACGCATGTTCCCTGGAATGGTGGCTGAAGCATGAAGGGAAATATGAATCTTTAGCACATCTGGCACGTAAATATCTTGCAATGCCGGCTACAACAGTGCCATGAGAATGCCGGTTTTCACTTTCAGATGACATTGCAAACAAGAAGCAGGCAGCATTATCTCCTGCAAATGTAAACAAACTTGTTTGTCTGAGCAATTGGCAGACCAAGAAGTAGGACTGAGTGGACCTGCAGGCTCAAAAATTTTACATTGTTTTATTTTTGATGCAGTTTTTTTGTACATAATTCTAGATTTTTAAGTTCAACTTTCACGATAAAGAGATTGCACTACAGTACTTGAATTAGGTGAATTGAAAAATACTATTTCTTTTGGTTTTTTTACAGTGCAAATACTTGTAATCAAAACTGTACACTTTCTATTCTGTGTTGTAATTGAAATCAATATATTTGAAAATGTAGAAAACATCCAAAAATATGTAACTAAATGGTATTCTATTATTGTTTAACAATGCAATTAAATCGCGCGATTAATTTTTGTAATTGATTGACAGCCCTACTTATAATATCTGATGGGATCACACCACAAGGTGACAAGGCTGTTTGGATCAAGATGAAGCCGTGTGTATTGAGACCAGGCACCCAAGGTCTACTGTGATGGGCAACAGTGTAAAACCCTAAAATAAGAGATATCAGTAGTCTCTGAAGGCTGAACGTCTCTAGTGAAGATGAGGGCAGTTGCAATCTGTTGAATTTTATACAAAGAAAACATGTCCCTGCTTAGTTCTCTTTGTTGTTTATATGTATTATGTAGCCAAAATACTTCACTTATCCAAAATAATCTGTTTGCTCACTGCCTATTATTAGCCTTTCTTCAGAACTTCACTTTTAACTGGAACTTGCTACAGCTGAAAGTCCATGGTCCTGGGGGTGTGAAACACAATTGGAAGTTGTTTCGAAGAGTGTGCTTGCTATGAAAAATTTCTTCAAAGGAAGGCAAAGTGGCTTGTATTTATTGTTCATGCAGTCTTCATCATGGAATTTTAATTACCGGAGTTATAGTTTGAAATGTAAATATCTCTAGCAAAGTAATAAGAGGCGTGAGTTCTTTAGCTGGTTTAAGGCCTCTCGGGCATAAAGGGTTCAGAGGTGAACGTTGTTGTCGTTGCCTAGTGAGACTGGAGACCATTTATCAAAGAGCACTCCAGTAATGAAATAATCCCGCCGCAGTGTTTGGAGAGGCTCCATGCCAGGATAACAAAGTGCTTTGGGTTTTGTGAGAGTAACTGGGGACTTAACTGTTGTTGGCCGTGCAGCTCAGATTGTACCCATTGCTAGTGAAACAGAAACTCTCTGAAACTGGAGGAGGCCATTTGTCACATGTGGAACCTTTGTTTAGCAGCAGAAATTAGTCAGAGCAGCCATTCAGTCAGAGCACTCTTCCCTTGGAGTCAGTTCTAGACCATGCCCCAGCATGGTGCTAGAAAGCACTGTTCTCTTGCTCTAATTAGATGTAAAGTTGAGGTCTCACACACCTGTGGACATAAAAGCTCCCATGGCACTTGTTGTAAGAGGAGAGGTGTTAATCTTTTACTTTAATCAAATTTTTACTTTGGTAATTACATTCTGTCTGCTTAAGTTGCCTCATGCAGTTTCAGTTTGGCATAATGTTCTTCTATGCTCCTATCCTAACATAATGTTGTTGTGTACCGTTAATAATACTAAACAACTTTTCAAATTCTGGCCAAGAGGGTGCTGCCTTTCAGTGGTAGGTTAAGTGAGCCATCTTTCAGGGATGTTGTGAGCTTAACTAGTTAATAGACTCCATCCTTGTCACGCAGGACTCCATTGGAGTTTAGTCATTGACTTCAGTGGGAACAGGAATTTGAAGCCATTTTTATAAAGATGCGCGAGTTTTTCAGATGAAAAGTTATTATAATAAATAGTTGGAATACCAAATTATTTCTGTCCACCTCTTACTCTCATCTCCATGAGCCTATTCCCAACGTGCCTCCCTTATCTCTGGCTACCTTCTCTTTAGAGGGGACCTAATTATGGGGCATATTAATTCATACTGTGAAACATGCCAAGGTTTGGCAAACCTCAGAGAAGACTTACGCTGGTCTGAATTATTTCCCTCCAATAGCAATCCCACCATCTCCCTCACGCATGCACACTCACTCACAAACATATGCACATCAACACGCGCACATTCTCTATAACATATCCTGGGACATTAGCTCACGGGAGACCCTGTGTAACCCCCACGCCTCCTGGGTTTGGTGCCCTGTCCCATGTAGTGGCACCGAGACCACTTAGAGAGAGATTAACAAGTCTGCTCTACAGCCTTAGCTAATGGCCATGTGGCTTTTAGCTCATGCAGTAGAGGCTCATGCATAAGCTCCAGCGGTCCCAGGTTCGATCCCGCCCGCTGACGACCGGGGTCTGTCAGTGTTACACCTGCACTGCTCCTTCCCTTCTAATGTCTTCAGGGATGGCCTGCTGACCTATTTCCTCATCCACTTTTTTTTGGTGGTTCAGATTGTGGAGGCAGCCCCTGAGCTAGTTTTCCACCCGCCTCTGCATCCATATGAAATGTCTTCCGTGATGATGCAGAGAACCCACCCCTTGCATTCCACATCAGCAGGATGGAGAATATTCTGGTTTCAATGCTGCCATTTTAAGTATTTCAGCTCAGTACTAATGTGGACACGAGAACGAATGGATATAAACTGGCCGTGGGGAAGTTTAGGCTTGAAATTAGACGAAGGTTTCTGACCGTCAGAGGGGTGAAATATTGGAACAGCCTTCCGAGGGAAATGGTGGGGGCGAAGGACCTGTCTGGCTTTAAGATTAAGCAAGAGAAGTTTATGGAAGGAATAGTTTTACCGGATAACATCATTT